AAGAAAAAATAGGGCAAAACTAAATTTTACAAGTGAAAATAACCGACTTTTGACCCAACTAACACCTAGAAAGGGTGAATAGGTGTTTGTATGCGGAATTTACATTTGTTAATTAATAACAGTAGCAAATTACAATTATTAATTTTATCCAAATGAATTCACATGCAATACTATCCTATGTTGAATTACCGTAATTGATACATTGCATGAAAGTAAACGACAACACGAAATTATTGATGGAGAATACCCCTCGCGGGATAAAAACTCTGAGCCCAAGCCAGTAGTATCCACTATAAAACGATAAAGACTTACAAACTATACAGGCTAAATCCTAGTATTTTCTGACCTCCTAGACTAAGTGCTCTTGCACCAATTCCAGACCTTTTGGGATCATTTATCTCATGTGGGTTACTTGAGAACTCCTGTTTTCCTTCAACCGACCCAATCTTTTCACAAAGTGGAGCTTGGATATATATGGTATTTAGGTTTTGGGGTAGTATAGGATAGTTATGACTCGAGAAAAATGCAAATTAGGGTTTTATGGTCGCACCGTTGCTCGAGCGAGAGTCCAGCGACATGCTAGTGAAAGTGTCTCTGTTTTGGATGCTCGAGTGAAAGTCCAGCAGCAGGCTAGCAGAAATCTAGTAACTTTCTCTTTTTGTTCCATAACCGAACACAAAGACGCCAAAATCATCTATACAACCTACCAATTTACTCCTTGACTTTCAAAACTCTTTTACAAATATATTTTTGTCTAAAGCTATCCAAAAACTATAAAACCTAACAACTTTCTATTGCACCATTGAACACACAATAACTGCAAAGGTTGAAATTATGCTAGGACCTAAACATCTTTATTTGTATACCTGCCTTCTGATGCTAAGAATATTTTCATACTCATTCAAAAGCTGGTTCCTTGAATGCTCCTGCTTAAGATGCTCATGAAGCTAGGATACATTTGGAGAATAAGCTTTCCCAAATAATTTGACAGACCAATGTTGAGGAACAAGACTACCAAAGTGAACAAACAGTTTATGAGCAGGTGACGAACGTCTCTGTTCTCCTAACTAATCCTTGATGCTTTATTGTACTAGTTATGAACTACTAATCACATGAAAAGGACACTTATCTACCTTTGTTCCTTATTCCATGATGTTTCCTTATACAATAGTGTGACTAAAGTTATATTATTATTTTTTTCTGGATAATTTGATTGTACTGATGGACCAGCGGGAAGATCCAATAGGACCTAATTGATTTGGAGAAGAAAGCACTGCTGTTGGAGGCAGTAAATAAAGAAAGTTTGGACTTGCAGGAATTGAGTGGATATCCTTGAATTTTGTCCAGTAGTTCATGATATCTTGGCCCACTATTCAGCATACTGAATGAAAGTCCTTAAAGAGAAGAAAAATGAGGACGGCTGATTGCAACCCACACAAGGCACTAAACAAGCATTTGTAAATAATCTGATTAGTTTTGTTGTGTTTGTGGATATAGGAGTCACCACTCTCACTTCATCCTACAATGATGATGAAGGATAGCATGCATTATTTATTTGAACTAATTCGTTTCAAATTTTTTGAATTTCCTACCTCCTATAATGATGCATTAATGTCTTAATGATAAGTACAAAGATTATTATTCTCACGCACAATCCACGTGGTGTTACATTGCTATTTTGAATTCCATGACCTTTTTTTTTTTTTTTTTACTGGAACAAGCTGACATCTGAATTGGAAGAGAAGTGTGCTTCCCATGGTGACGAGCTGCAGAAAAGGTTTTTATGCCCCCGTTGTCATCAAGATAAGTCAGAGGAACTGAGTGGCATTCTTCAAATGCATGATAGAACTGAACATCTTACAAGAAGCTAATTTCAAGGATCATCATTTTTATATTGTTAACTTGGCTTGGTTATATTGAATGCTCAAAATGTTCTATAGAGATACTTTGAACTTCATATGCTATGACAGCGCATGTTGTAAGGCTATGTGTAATGAGCCAAAAGATTATCTTGTCCAGGTGAGGCATGCTAACTTTTGCTCTTCTTATGTATCTTCTCTTGTTTGGATATTTCAATGGGCATGGAATTTGTGAAATACTTTTTGCTTCACACAATAGAAGTAGTTACACTATATAGACTGTCTTTTCTATTTTGATGGCTAGCACTGGATAAACACTAATAGCACTTGTTTTCATCACATATAAGGAGTGTTCTTTCAGTATCGCCTTTCGCTCATATTTCTTTCCAATGGAGAGGGGGGTGAATTATGCTAGAATCTCTTCAGTATCAATACAATTAATCAAATGAAGTTATGTTTTCATCATCTACTGGATATACAAGCTTGCATATATGTTGGTGAAACTTCCATATCTGTGACAATTAGTGATGGCAATGTGGATGGGACCTCATCGGCAGTCCTCTCCTGCCCATGCTGCAATAGCATTCACAGGAGAAACTTAAGAATTAGTACTCGATATCAAATTTATGTAATAATGCTTCCTGTATAATTACAGCAAATCATCTATCCTATAGAACAATTTTAAGTTTATTAGAGTACTTACAGTTCTGATAGGAGTTTTTGGGAGGAAGGTGGTCGGAACTGAAGTGAACCTTAGATTACCAGATTTCTCTACTTCAATTCGTGTACAGAAAAGGGCTGAGACAGGCCGATGATCAGAGAATTTACTTTCACTGCGGAAATAGGAAAGTTGCGTGACTCCTTTACCATACCATAGAATCCTGTCACACCTGCAAATTCGAAGTTCAAACCGTATTACACCTCATTCATTTATTTACCTTGGGAAGATAGGTGGAGTTAGTTTTCAGTAAAGCATTCTCATAAAAATTGTTAAGTTGAAGACAAACACACCATATACGCATACTAATAAAGATTTTCTAGATACGGCTCAAGGCAATTATGAATTGATATGACAAAAAACAAGGAACAGCATCAACGAAGATGTCAGGGCATCAACATACCACGCAGGAGTTCTTTGCTTCTCTCCTGCTCTACTTGGAATTCCACCTGAATATCTATTGCAGTTCGAGGAAGAATACTTGTATGTTGGTGCAAATTCTATGTTTCCCTCTTTCCAACCCTGGAATACGCCACCAACATCTAGTTCCCTCTGCAACTGATCAAACTTTTGCAATGCTGTCCAATCTTTTTGTCTAATGAAATGCCTTGCCGTGTTGTCTTCTAAATATAATCTGTAGTTAAGATCTCCGAACCAGAATATTTGACTGCTCTACAAAGAACATATTTTATCATAAGCATGCTTAAAATAACCCGATCCTGTTAAGTTATCTTTACCATATTTTCTTCCATACGTGTATAAAATAAGTATAGGTTATGGATTTCCTTTCCTTTTATGATCTTGATGATAAATATTTTGGTTTCTCACAAGTCGCGATCTAACCATTGGTGAGACGAGTGTATGAGAGCGTGCACCAATGGTCTGGATCTCAACTTATGTTTGCTTGGTAATTAGGATATTAGTTTCTATCTTGAATTCCAGGTGAATTTTTTAATATGCTGTCAAAATTGGAAATGTACATGAAAAGGGCATAGATCTCTAAATTCATTCATTTATCTTTGCGGGAAGCTGGACTTACTCGTGCCCTAAGATGGTAAGCGGAAAAAGATTCTCGCCATCTTCAAGGAGGCGTGGGAAATATGTGCGCCTGAAAATCTCCGACACCTGGTGATTCCTTCTCCTTTCATCGCCGTTCTTCTCGCCAGAAGCTAAATGAGCTGCTATGAAGCAAAAACTCGTTCCTTCAATTGACATACTGACAGAAACTGATCCTTTGTTCCCTAAATAACCCATGATACCACAAGCCACTGAACAAACTTTCACTCCTGCTATGTTGTATTTTTCCAGCAATTCCCTTCTCATCCATACGCTTATAAAGACACCCACCATCTTCTTGCTAGCTAATAATCTGTACATACTAGGTCGTCTTCCAAAATCAGAAATTCCTTCTTTATGATTATCCTCAGTAGCAATTGGATTCACCGAAGGCGCTAACCAAGGACGTCCGTTATTAAGAGTTTTTCCAATTAGTAGGTTCCAATTGGTAGCCTCTGTTGGATCTTCTGCCCCAATTACCGTTTTCGCCTTTAAAGGTACAATTTCTTGAAATCTGCAGTGTGGAGTCAAAGTGTTGAGCTTAGAAATGATTTTCCTCATTACATCGAAATAAAAGTGTTCACAATTGTACCTCTAACGTACCCAAGAACATATATATCTGCTGCATCTTTGAGATTCAACCATTCATCCAAATCTACAGCCAAACTTCCCACTGGGGACCTTCCCGCTACATTCCAGGTACCCACATAAACTCTGCAAAGTAAAAAAATATTCACCGCCTCCTCAATATAGGAAGTATTAAAGGATTGTGTTGTGCAAACGTGAACAGTAAAATTGAAAAGAAGAAGAACAATAAAATCGACACTTATCAACGTCTAAGCTCAATAAAATCGACACTTATCAATGTCTAAGCTAATGGGCTAGTTGATTCCGCTATGTGTCTGAGCCTACCAACCCGTCCCACCACTCCATCAACTAGTCCCCATACAAAAAATGTTTTAGAGCTATCTAATCAAGAGGTAGTATTAGTACACAGTACTAGATATTACATCCAATTCACCTGGATAAATGCAAAATTATTGTCCTTTGAGACCTACCACACAGACATGATCATAAACTCTCACCTCAATTCATTGGTCGAAATGCATGGATCCTTCTCAGACGATCCATCAGCGATTGCATCCATGTAATCATTCTTTTCTTGGCCACCATCTGCATGCATAAACAGGCTATTCAACCTCGAAATCGTGAAAATCTATGTAAAAAAACCGGAAAATTTCAAAGAGGATTATATATTATGCCTGATATCACACTAAATTGAAATGGATCTGCTGCCTTATGCTTCCTTGAAAACCACCAACTGGGCAACCTTATTGTTCTCGTGCCGTGGTGCTTGTTATCCTTATCCATGATTCAAGAAACAGAAATATTCCATGTCCCAATTACAATTTCTTCTACGGTTTAGGACAAAAGGCTATGGATTTAGTGCTTTTTCTGTAAGCTAATATTGTATTGATCGCCAGGCAAATTTACAGTTCAAACGATTATAACGAGAAAGAAGGTCAAAGGTGGTTGTGTTGCACCTCTGTCAAGCTTTAGTTCATTAGTAATTTACGAAGGAAGAACGAAAATTAGAGTAGTTCTGGACCTCATGTGGTTCCATCATTGCTTGATAATTGGTGGGGTGATCACGTAAATCTTGTTACAAAGTTTTGTGCAATGAATATGGCTAGGTCAAAATTATCTCGTATATTTGTTAAAATTAGAAAAGTAAAGGTTATTTAAAATCTTGAAAGTTGGTTGGAGACTTTGCCAACTCGTGTCCACCCATATGAGATAATTAGTTAATACTTCTAAACTTATAAAATTCAGTTCGAGTATTGATTCGATAAAGTAACAGAGCTAAAAAATAAAATGGTTCAATCGAAATCGAACCATTGAAATAGACTCGATTTATAAAGTCATTCATAGCTAAACATACTTTAAGATTCAGAACATGTATGTGGTAACATATCTTAAAGATAAGTTTCAAATGTGTAACTTATGTTGACTTATTTAGAATGTTAATAAGTTTGCATTAAAAATATGCTACATGTTTGTTGGTTATTTTTAATGTTGTCATCCAAACAAACTCACAATCACTCCTTTATTAGAAAAGAAGGCCGTTGAAAGGTCCCGTCAACCCAAGATTGGTTCAATTTTTTTATTTATTTTTCGATTAAACCGCCAGGACCTAGCTAATAAGAGTTCATCTCTAAATTTTTGGTTAATGAGAATTCTTCCTACATTTACCATTTTTTCCTCAAAAAAAAAGGGCTTTTTTTTGATGTTCGTGTTCAAATAAAGTTCCAATTGCTATAAATTATGGGGCTCCGCCTGAATCTGAGGGGCCAATCAGACCAAACGGTAATACAAATTATGTTGCTTTCACAAGTTGCGACATTCTAACTAGTAAATGAGTTGCAATTTTGCAGAAATCTTTCAGCTTCACTAATCATTATCAACTCCACGACGTTTGTCTA